ACCGAAGGCAGTAGACAGGTAGAAAGCTGGACCACAACTAAGAAGCGGAGATGGGGCACTTTTACTATTCAAACCTCACAATTCTGTTGACCCTGCAGCTGGCTCCACCACTACGTGTCAGAGGCTGCCTCTGTGAGACAATAATTTCTGCTACTTTGCTTAGGCTAGCTCGAGTTAGAATTTCAGTTGACTCTTGAACAACATGGGTTTGAACTGTGCTGGTGAGATTTTTTTTTTTTTAAAACCAACTGTGGTTTTAAAGTTGCTATACTCCCGGGATGCTAAACCCACAAATAAGGAGGCAGAATTTTCCTACACTCAAGTTCAGCAGGACAGACTGCAGGACTTGAGTATATGCAGATTTTGGTACATTGTCATCTGCCTTAATTAGTCCTGGAGCCAATCTCCTGAGTATACTGAGGGACAACTGCATATCACTTGGCACAAAAAAGCCTTAAAATAAATACTTAAATTGAAGCATTGCCTGCTTCCTGAGTATCAATTTCGTTTTCTACATTACACCATAATGCTCATGAGATCAGAGTTTATGCCATAGTTCTATGGATTTCTTCCTATGCATGTGATAGTACTAGGCTTACTGTAAGAGCTCCAAAAATATTTTACGACATATGCTCTACTTATATGTCATTACGTAAAAATAAAACAAAATTATACTCATGCATTTTTAATATTAGCATTTTTTGACTCTATTCATAACATCTGTGTTTTCCAACTGGGAAGTTTGTGTAAGTGACCTCTTGTAAGATGGAGGTCTGAAACATAAACAGTTTATCACATGTGTTGCTGGAGTAACAATTGGCAGAGATTGCCCTACACTCTAATGACATTTTACTCTCCCCTAATCAGATCGATAGGTTTTTGAAGTGCACTCTGTTGAATTAGAACAATAATAAAGTTTTTAAAGAAATGCATGAAAAATAAAAAGAAATAACAAAAATTACCTTTTAAAATACATATCTTTTCACCTTTTTGAAGCATTTTTACAAAGTTAAAGGGGGTGTGTGTGTGTGTGTGTGTGTGTGTGTGTGTGTGTATTTACCACCCCCTTACCATGATGACAACAAGAACTCAAGAAAAAGATTTCCTGGGGCTGGGCATGGTGACTCATGCCTGTAATGGGAGGTCGAGGTGGGTGGATTGCCTGAGCTCAGGTGTTCAAGACCAGCCTGGGCAACATGGTAAAACTGCATCTCTACTAAAATACAAAAAAACAGCTAGGCATGGTGGCATGCGCCTGTAATCCCAGCTACTTGGGAGGCGGAGGCAGAATCGCTTGAAGCTGGAAGTTGGAGGTTGCAGTGAGGTGAGATCGCACCACTGCTTTCCAGCCTGGGCAACACAGCCAGACTCTGTCTCAAAAAAAAAAAAAAAAAAACAGATTTCCTGGTAAAATGAACCAATGCACTTAGATGCACCACAGTGTTCTGTCTTTTCATCTGACTTCCTTAGAGAAGAAATCATCTGATTCATTCAGGGACTATCCTCCCAAGCTAATTAGTACATTTAATCACGTCCAATAACTTTGAGTCAGTGGGGGTTTCTATTTGTTTGTTTTTCGTTTTTTGGCCTAGTATCTGAGTGCTACATGCCAGGGACATTTTTAGGTGCTTAACATGCATTAACTAATGTAATTCTCCAACAACCTATGAGGGTATTTGAGGTAAGCATTATTCTAAAAATGCCCTCCCCCAAAGATTTCCATCTTGATTACTCATTGAAACAGTAATTTAGGTATTGATCTGAAGGGACTTTACAAACATAATTAAAATTTATGTACCTTAAGATAGAAAGAGGCCAGGTACGGTGGCTCATGGCTGTAATCCCAGTACTTTCGGACGCCAAGACCCGAGGTGGGTGGATTATTTGAGGACAGGAGTTCGCGATCAGCCTGCCCAACATGGAGAGACCCCATCTCTACTAAAAATACGAAAGTTAGCCAGGCATGGTGATGCATGTCTGTAATCTCAGCTACTCAAAAAGGCTGAGGCAGGAGAATTGTTTGAACCTGGGAGGCAGAAGTTGCAGTGAGCTTAGATTGTGCCACTGTACTCCAGCCTGGGTGACAGAGTGAGACTCTGTCTCAAAAAAAAAAAAAAGTTATTCTTAATTATTTGGTTATACCTGATCTAATAATTATTTCAGCCCTTAGAAATGAGAATTTTTTCAGGCTAGAGTCAGAGAGATGTGGCAAAAGAAGGAACAGGAACAGGAGAGATCATACAGAAAGGGAGATCAGAGAGATTTAAAGTGTGAGGAGGACTTGAGGTGCCCTTCCTCGTTTCGAAGATGGAGGAAGGAGGAGCCACAAGCCAAGGAATGCAGATGGCCTCTAGGAGCTGGGAATCCCCATCTGAAAGCCAGCAAGGAAACTGCACAGAACTGAACTCTGCCAACAAGCTGAACGAGCTTGAAAGCAGATCCGCACCCCCGCCCCTGTCCTCCACCCAAACCCCACCACCCCCGAACCTTCATTGAGGAACACAGTCCTGATGACCCTTTACCGGTGCAGTTCTAGATTAGAGGAGACTAAAGAGACATGATAACCAAATTCAAGACGACCCTTTGATTAGATTCTGTTTGTGGATGGGGTAGGGAATAACTTTAAAGAATGTTGTTGAAACAAGTGGGGAAATTTTAATTTGGCCTATTAGAGAATAGTATTTTATCAATGTTAAATTTCCTGAATGTGATAGTTGAATTGTGGTTATTTAGAAGAATGTCCTAGTTCTTAGGAGACAACATGCTCAAGCATTTAGGAGCGAAGTATCATCCTTAATATAAGCCGATATAAAGCAAATGTGTACAATGCGAACAGTTGGTGAATCTAGATGAAGGGTATATAGGTGTTCATTGAATTATTTTTTGCAATTTTTCTAAAAAAAATTTTTCAAAATAAAAACTTGACGGGAAATAAAAATCACTGTGGATACTTTGTGTAGCATGGATTTGAGGTCAGTAGGAAAGAAGTGGGAAGACAGGATGAGAAGGTATTTCGCAGCCAGACTGAGGGCTGGGATGCAAGAGGAATAGCAGGGATAATGGAAAGCATCCCCCGCCCACAGCTAGGCCGGCGAAGCAGCTCATCCTAAAACTGTGGTTCCCACAGGCTTCCCTTGCAGGGCCGGGGGTGTGGTCGCCCAGCTGCTTTCGAATTTGGTTGGGATTGAGGACGGGTGCCTCGGGATGCTTTACCCCGCCCCGCTCCAGATTGGAAGAGCCCACGTGTCAGTGTTAGATGGGGGAAGCGGCATCATAAATTTAATTAGCGCTTCTCTTCTCAAAGTATCTTCCAAATCTTTGGCCTTTTTCCATAACATAATTTCCTTTTAGGTCAGTATCTCTTTAAAATTGATGTTTAATTAAGAAAAAGTGTGAGTCACATAAAGATGATTTTTTCAGCTTCCCCCGCTACGTCCGCCCCATGCGCCAGGCCGCGAGAGGCAGGACGTGGAAGCGGAAGTGCTGGTCGGGGGCGTTCTCTCGAGTCCGGGGCGCAAGTAGCGGACGCTGCCCATGGAGGCGTCTAGCGAGCCGCTGCTGGATGCTAAGTCCGAGGTGAGTGCCA